TGAGGAGGGTAGGCTTGCGGCGGCATGGGCTGTTGAGGGTGCTGCTGTGTCATGTAGGGAGTTTGTTGCAGCATAGGTCCTCTGGTGAGAGCGGGAGTAGGGTTGCTGTCGTGGAGGCTGGACTCGGGGTACATTCCCTTCATGGGAGTGATGTGTCTGAGCTGAGCATCGGTGCTGGGTTGCTGAAGCTCTGGTGATCCAGGATGCGGTCTCGAGTAGTAGGAGATGAGGTGAAGGTGCTGGCCGGTGGAGGTGGTGATGCTGAAAGACTGCTTCATGAGGCCATCCGCCTTGTATCTGTAGCCCTCAGGCTCGCCGTCTTCCTGGTCCTCGTCGCTGCCACGGCCAGAGTCGGGAGTCTTGCCGGCACCCCGTCTGCCACCGCCGAAGCCGCTGCCACGCTTGCCCTCCATCTCGCGGTAGGTAAGGAAGCTGCCAGAGACTCGGCTGGCGCTCCATGACTTTCCATCGGTCCACCTCCTCATGCCAGCTTCCCGCTCATCCCAAACAAATACTGAGCCGGATCGGATAGATTGGCGTTCCTTCTCTGATAGTCTGCGTTGGACGCGAGGCAGGAGGCCTAGTCTGCAAGCCTCGAAGAGCTTGATAGCGTCTGCGGGTGTCCGCACAAAGCCGTGGTATGTCTCCATTGTGATGATGGATAAAGTGTGATGAAGGTTGAGTGGTGGAGGTGAAGTAAGAGTGTGAAGCTACCAAGAACCTTTGATAGGTAGGATGGGGAGAACCTTTATATCAAGGTAAGAAGGGAAGGCTGGTCCTAAAGTAACTCTCCGGTGGTCCTCCACTGCGGCCCCACTGAGTTCGTTTGGGGGTAGGGATAGTTTGAGTAAAAATCGGCACAAGTTGCCCTCGACAGAAAAAGATCCTTGGCCCGAGTCGCCCTATGGCAAAGACGGGTAATCTGCGGTCGAGAGAGAAGAGAGTTTTTTTGGGTTAAGCCGATAGCTATGGTTAAAACCCCGTGTGACCAGACTGGTGGTGTCCGTCTGTCACGCCAAGAGATTGTCCAAGGCAAATCAGGGTGAGACGTCTCGTCGGGAGAAGGCTGAAGGTCCAAGCTTCCTCTCTGAAAGAGCGTTTGTTCTGTGAGAAGCGGACGCGTGGGTAATGAGCAGCGGGTGCTGATACCGCTTACAAACGCTTCGAGAAAAGAGAAACGAATTGCGTAGGCTAGATGACGCAGAGCAGAGTGGGTTAGCTCTTCAGGTTCTCGACAGGTGAGGGCGACGATGAGCTCCTCGACGATAGGATGAAGGTGTTTCGCAGGCGGTGATGGGTGATGACAGAAGCTTATTCACAACTCGACAGACAGATGGGTTGAGGCGCATTGAGTCGCACGTCAAGCTTCGAAAGGGTGGAGATGGTGAAGGTGAACGGGATGTTGGAGTTGGTGAGAGCTGCTTTTGGCAGGCTTGCGAGACGTGCCAGGTATGGAGTTCAAAGGCGTCTGACTGGGCTGGAGCAGCACCTGTACCATATATATCCTGATACAACACGCGCAAGCCCACACTAGCAGTCGCACCCCCCGGCGAAGGCCAAGCTTTTGGCGACAGGGGAGTCATGGTAAGGGAGGGGGGCCAGGGCAGGCCAAGGGGGGCAGGGGTACGAATGCAAAAGGGGGCGTGTGGGAGACGAGGGGGTGGAAGAGCAAGAAGAAGACGACGACGACGACGAAGAGGGGGGTGTGATGGAGACCCGGGAGTGTCGACAAGAAGACAAGACCACCAAGACCGGGCATGGGTTGAAAAGTGACTTTGGGACTTGGAAAGACTACGGATACGCTTCGAACCAAAGTGGAGGCGACCCGAGTGACCCAAAATTCCTTCTGGAATCACCCTGCGCGCGCGCACACACACACACACACACACACACACACACACACACTCTCTCTCTCTCTCTCTCTCAGCGCCGTCACAACCGATCCACTGAAGAAGATGACGGGGGACGGGGGGTACTGGCTTTCTCGACTAAAATTGCCTCTTGGACTATCCCTGAGCGGGCTCAGTAGAGAGGCCGAGATGACCGATGGCCGAGTCGTACTTGGAAGCCAACAGTGGGAAAAGAGGCGATGTGCATGAATGATGGGAGAGGGAGGTAGATGGGCTGAATTGCGTGCAGACTTGGGACGACGATCAAGCTGTTCGGAGAGTAATGGGCAGATGGGGGTAAATAGGTGTGAGCAAGTTGAAGACTGTTCAGCCGGCGGAGGTGATAGGCAGTGATGGATGAGCACCAGGAAGCTTCATCAGACAAGTGTGTGATCACCTCTTGACAGATGCCCCGTTTGGACGACTTCTCCTCGACGGGTGCACTGCAACTTCTTGATAGCGCCGGTGCATGAGAGTGATGTGCCGTCCATCAGCCCCTGCAATGCCGCGGCCCCCAAACTTCCCACATCAGGATAGACGTGAGGGTGACACTAGACATTCGAGGGGAGCAGAAGGGTGACGCAGATGCAGCAGGCGCCCATTCCAACCAGGTAGACAATGCACCTGATCGACAACGAAGCTTGACTACGACAAAAACATGGAGAGGGGCCGAGATGGAGACGAACGGGGCGTATACGAAGGGGTAGAAGGATGGGTAGTGAGTATCGAAACAATGAAGTGCGTACGTACCTCTCTTCCTGTGTGTAGTGTAGTGTTTTGTGACGGGGATGCCAAAGATTGCCTGCCGGTGAAAATGACAGACTTCTACTTCTTTTCTCAATGAATGAGTTGATTTGTATCAGTACCAGCAACGCGAATGTGGACACGCGGGTGGATTCGTTAGGAGTCGACAGTCGTGTGTCGGATCGTCGTCCAAAGTCAGCAACTGAGGCGTATGGGGAATCTTGACACTTGTTATAAGATTGAGACCCGCGGGAGATGAACGGCAAGGCGAGAGTCGAGATTGGCTGCGGCGGCCCAGGAGCTGCCGATTGCGTTGACTTCTTTATGCTTGATCCAGTGCCGAAAGGGCGAGTCTGTCGGCCGGGCGTCCTCCTAGGACTTGGGGTGGGAGCCTGGGAGGGGACCACACAGAGTTAACGGTGACCAGGGGTACCGCCGCAAGTCAAGGCCCGACGGATCGGGGACATAGGACAGAAAAGGTTGAGTTGCACAGCGCTACTTTTGGGTTCCTTGCCGGCCTTTGGGGGGGCAGTGTCCGGGATGGGCCCTTGACGACGGTTTACGCGGACAAGCCGTTGGATGTTGCGGTAGATGGTGACAAGCTTTGGGACCAGATGGCGTAGTGTGGGTTCTGCTGTGTTGGCTGGAGCGTGACGGCAATGAAGAAGAGTCCGAACGACGGGAATACCTGTCTGGGCTCAACTAGAGTTAGGAAATCCCGAGAACCCCACCGACAATCAACTTAAGCAATGTGCTTGGTGTATCTGGATACAGTACGCTACTACGGATACTACAGTCTACATACCACCCTTGGTTCGGTGGTGATAGTGCGAGCAACGGGGGGTAAGGATGATGGATGACGACGCCAGTTGGGCGCAGCCTGAGGTGATTGGAGGGGGGAAAGGATGATAATGGTAGTCTCCCGTACGGATATGTGGGCTGAGATTGATGGACAACGATTGACGGGGCGGAAAATTTAAGGTCAAGGAGAGACTTGGGTACGCTGTCAGAGACTCAGGATTATGCAGGCGGTTTTCCCCATCAAAGGCGAGGCCGCGAAAGTCTACCTACCACTCTACGGATACACAATACCTACCCTACTACGCAGCCAGGCCAGGCGTGCTGTGTCAAGAGTCGCGAGGGCTTCGGGATCGGGATGTGGGAGAGTGGGTATGAGGGAACATCTGTCCAGTGTCCCGGCGAGTCTCAAAGTCTCAAGGTCTCAAGGTCTCAAGCCCCAACTTTTTCCCACGCCGCCAGGCTTTCCGAAAAAGAGCTTGTTCTGGCCCAGAACTGAAGAGCCGTCAAACAAGCGTGGCGACGGGTTCAGGGGAGAGCCACACGATGGGGAGAGAGCTGCGTACGTCTTCGGGAAGCGGGAGGTGCTCGGAGGAGGATACCTATGCGTACAAACGGGAGTAAAGAATGAGGGGCCCAAGGCAATGGTGAGGATGAACTACTACGCAGTCTTTCTCCGTACGCAGTTGGTGCTCCATCCAATAGGGGGAATAAGGGAATAAAGCATGGCGTAGCGTGATGGCTTAACTTACTTTGGATAGTATTGATGGTCCTCCCACGTACCAGCCGGACGGTCTGTTCTTTTTTTGGGATCTGGGCGCTGGGGGATAATGGAGACTGTACACAATAGGAACACGGCGAAGGTTGGTGAGGCTGATGATGACGACGAGTCGGCCGGCAGCGTACGTACGTCTCTGGAGGATGTTAATTAACTGTAGGCAGGTCTCCTCCCTTCCCTCGGTGGGAGGTACCCCTTCTAGTTGAAGCCTCGAAGCCTCGGTCGACAGAGAAAGGGGCGTATGGAGTTCTCTCTGGAGAGCAGAATAAATGGTTCGTCAGGCTAAGCTCCTCAAATTGATGCAAGCTTCAGCTGTCTCTGAGCGGTCGGTGGCCGTAGCCGTAGCAGCCGTAGCCGCGGAGCCGGATGCTCTGTACTTGTGCGGGTATCCGGCAGAGGTGACTGACGGAGAGTCTTGTGATTGTTGATGCCGTAGTGAAGAGAAGGCGCACAATTGGGGCTCCTAACCGGGAATAAGCTCAAATCGATAGGCTCTCTCTTAATTTTGGAGTTGGCTCGGGCGGAATGATTGTCGTCAGGGTCTGGGTCTGGCGTGCCGACTGATCCAGATGGCGCGTTTGCTGTGCCTCAGCCCCCAACCACCACCCAAAGTGAGTGCTGTCGGTGCCGAAAAGGCAGCAGGTTGAGGTGGTTTTCACTCGAACTCGGAGCTCGGATTGCCTCCACAATGGCGGCGCTCCCCCGTGCGAGTCCTTCAGGCTCCTTGACGTGAGAATGTTTCTCCCGACAGCTGACCTTTTAAGACGTAACGGAGTGCTCCGTCTGTGATGGGGGTCCGTTTCCGCGGTGAAATAAGCCAGACCTCTCTGGATGACCTATCGCTGGTCTCTGTTGGATGGCGAAATCGGTGTGGCGCCGAATGTCTCCATGTGATGAATCGAGTTGCAGCGAGGTAGGTATCCGTATTTTTGTAGGTGGGTAGCCTGTTCACAACAACTGGCGAGGACGGGAAAAAACCGGGGTTTTTTTGATGGACGGCGGATGAAGACGAAGATGAAGGATGACAAGGCCGCCAGTAATAATTTAAAGCTGGACCAAACATATGCGTCGGCAAAAGAGGTAAATGACGGCGATAAGATGGATGTGACGGCGAGCGGGAGGGTGTGGGCGTTGCATCCGTCAAGATGGATGTGACGGTCGGTGCATGGATGATTTGATTTCGCAGTCAGATCGGCCGTCCCCCCCATGATTATTTCTTGGGTGTCTCTTTTTGTGTGTGAGGTGACGGTCTTCAAAACTGCCTTTCTATCCGTGTGGTGCTGTTCAGGAGCATGTAGACAGTGCTGTGGAAAGTCTCGAAGCGTCCTATCCGCGGTGAGGAACACAAAAGGACCCGCGCTCAGTCCCGGTATACGAGTGTTTGGGACGAGATCGAGAGAGATGCGATGGGGATGACTGGGAGACCTGGAGTCTGAAAGATGGGATCCAATGTCTGTGTCGTGGAATTGCATGCCGGTCAAGGTTCAGGTCGGCCGGGATGGGACGGGGGAGACTGGAGATGTGCGGGAGAAACCCTGCTAGAAGAGCTGGAAGGAATGGCACGGCATTATTCTTTCCCTTTTCCTCTTTTTATCCATCACGTTCCTTCGCCTTTCTCCCTTCTTAATGGTCATGCCTACTTGCTTAATCAAGATGGAACAAGAAGGAAGGTCTCCGTCGTTGTGGACAAGAAGGCGCTCTCACAATAGGTGGGTGCATTTGGTAGGCACGATAGGCAGACACAGGGTATGGAAGGCAGGTACTCTGTTTAGAAGGCAAGCACCAATTTTGGTGTGTGGAAAGCGGGTTGCAGACTCAGGGTGGAAGGTGCAGGCTGACAAGAACTTAGGTAGGTACCGTGGGTACGTACCATCAACCTTCCTTCCCTCCCTTCTCGAAAAGAATTCAAGCTTATTTCGACAGTCGCTGCACCAAGCTTTTTCAAAGTGGAGGCCAATGTATCCGAAAAGATACGTACCCAGACTGAACCACTCACCGTCATCCCTTGTTCTGTGGGTGGGCATGTCCGGCCGAGTCAGGGGCGTGGGGATAAGCCGCCTTGACGGGGTGCGGACAGACAGCACTCAGAAGTACGTACACATATACGCAGTAGTCAGGCATCAGCAAGAGGAATACGAAAAGGGTAAAAACACGACAATGTTGCAACATCAAATAGAATACCTACCTAGAGCATCAAGGCCAAGGCCAAGCAATGGGCAGACGCAGAAACGCAAGAAAAGGAACGATTACGATGCGCCGCCGAGGCTCAATTCTCCACCACAATGGCATTCCTCCTCACCAGGGCCCATCATCCATCACATCCACTCAGCACGAGCAGATTCGAGGTAACTCTTTGGTGCAAATCACAGCCAAACGATACTTGTCGTAACTCCACACCCTCCTTTCGAACAGCGCCCTTTTTCCAAGGCTGCCAAGACTGGAAGACAAGCCCGCAGCCACCGCCGGCCCCACTAGAGAAGGTATACTGCGTACCGAGTATCGCTGCGTTGCGCTGACCTTTCACCTTTCAGAGCGGTGGTCCGCGTGGGGTGAATTACTGTTGTATTCCCTCGAGAATGGAAAAGTGTGGATAAGAAATCTGCATTATTCGTTCCGTGCTTCCCGCCGGCAAAACGTCACCACCACTGTATCCGAGATCGAGGGTCCCACCACCCGCCCCATCCTCTTCTCTTCTGCCTCTTTTTGGCTCCCGTTTGCTGACTGCTGCGGTGGAAGCACCATAATCCCTCGATGCTCACTCAGAACTACCGTCACATCCGTCCAAAACGTTATTTCCAACCCGTACGAACAGCCCGTCAGCGGAACACGGAGGCAAAGAGACGGAACCACAACAAAACAGCCACCAAATATCCATCCGCACCAGGTGGAGACTCGATCGCCGATAGAGTGTTGCCTCCAATTCCGTTATTCCGTTCCCAATACCAATACAACACGACCGCCGCCGCCGCAACGGACGGCATGTCGAAACGAGTCGTGAGTGTTCGTTGTTTATTACGAAAAATGAGCAAGAAAAAAAACGTGCCGCATCTTCCATCTTCCCCGGGCCGCACAAACAAGGAATCCCGTTCCAGGAAAAGGAACACCCAATCGTGCCAATCCATCTATCTGTACCTAAATCTTTCGTTTAGACCCCCATTCTGCACCATAAAGATTATCCCGCGGACGACCGGCCAATTGTCCAAAAAAGCAACCCAGGCCAGACTCTACAGACTGAGCACACACATGAACTTAGCCTCGTATAAGCAAAAGTGCGTCTGACTAAAAAAGCCAAAGTGGGATCAGGGTCTGGGAATCACGACCAGCAAAGAGGGATTGTCTGGCCGCGCTGACTTCGTGCAGACCACCGAATCTGTAGGCTAAAATCACTAACCTTTCCCCCCCTTGCTTGCCCCGTACTCCCGTCTCGGGAAAAGGATGCGCCAACGTCTCATTCCGCGATAGCGAACACTCATAAGGTTCTGTAGAGGATTATGATGGGGCGAGCCTGGAAGGGGTGGGCGTAGGTCGGCTCTCACTGAACTCTGCCCCCCGTCCATCTGACCTAACAAGCATTGGTTATTCTTATTCCCTCTGGTAAAACACCCGACGAAGACAAATAAAGTATCCAGCCAGCGGCAAGACTGAGCAGAAAAATCGTCAAAAGAAGACACATAGCAGAGACTCTATGACTGACAGCGAACAAGGTTAAGTCCGTTCCGTTCAGTCCGCCAGCCTAGTCTATGGTTGGTAGCCACTAGCAAACCAGATGTCAAGTCCAAATTAAACTAAGGAAAACTAAAAAGGAAATGGAAAATAAAAATCCAAATCAAACCGCCCACCAAATACGGTGCAATGGAAGTAGACAGGCTTTGACACACGCCCCCCTTCCACTCCGTAACCAGAGAATGAACAAAACCCTAAATCTGCCATTTGGCGCCCATCGGCCAGTCTTGGCGAAATGACACATACCAAGAAGGCTATGTGGACGTCCCAAGACCCCGAGGCCCAGACATTGGAAAGCCAGTAAACAGTGCAGGATACTGCTAAGGACCGGGATGGATGGGCAGTATAAGACATAATGCACGAAGAAACTGTTCCATGTCGATCCATGATCTGCTGCTGCTGCTGCTGCTCACTCTCATGTGCCATTGAGAGAATGTCCCTTCTTTTTTGACTTTTCCTTGGCACTGGGTGACTGTTTTTGCTTGGCTTGTCCACCGAGCGGACCTTTCTAGAGAGACATTGAATGTGCTCAGCCACTCCGTCCAAGACATTTAACTCATTCAAATCCAAGAAAAAAAAAAGATCATTTGAACAGCAGAGACCATTGGCGCTCAAGCCAAGAAAACGGCAATTGTGTATAAAATCCCCAAACGGACAAGACGGACATTTGACATTCTTGATGCACCGGCGTATTGCTTACGCTCACTTCTGTCATTAGCCAAGCTGAAAAGCATAACCCTAAACGGAGATGCATCACCTAAAAAGGCCATAGGAAGTCTGGAAGATCTGACCAAAAAAGACTGAAGAAAGAACCTTGTCTATCCCACACGCCTGCATACGGATAGACGAAATTTAAGAAACTCCAATCCAATCCAGACTTTAATCTGTCTTCAGTATGATGCCCACCCCGGGCACATATCACACGCCAATTCAAAGGCCCGTATCCAATCAAACCACCCCGATGCGTAAATCAAAGCAAACTCCCCCATGTACACAGTATGTTCACAGCTCTGCAAAGACTACGCAGTGGAACCCATCAAGCTCACAGCTCGCAAGTCTCTGTGCCTCTCGTTCTCCATCGCCATTCCTGCCAATCCTGCCAATCCTGCCCATCCTCACTGGACGAGGAATTAACCATAATCTTAGCTACAGGCAATAAGAAAGAAGACTAAAAAAGCTGATCTAACCGCAATCCAAGCCTCTCTTCGCGGCCGCACCACAAAACCCCTGCCCTGCCTTTAGCAGCGCCGCCCCCTCCTCGTGCCGTATCCCGCTCGTAACCCGTTTACCAAAGGGCCATGACCAATAGTCAACCCATATTTACCAAGCCGACGTTGGCCGTGCAGGAACTCCCTCATCCTTCTAGGCAAAAGAAAAGAAAGAAGAATAACAAGGTTGCGGGCTACCTTAGTGTCCCAGGCAGACAGGCACGCCGGGCTCAGGTCGGAAGACTACATACACTAAAGCGTGCTTTAGCGAAGCGGATCACGAAAGGTTCTGCAAAGGAAGAGGGGAAAAAAAAAGGTTTACCTAAAATTTCCTCCAACTTCCCTCCTCGTACAGGCGGCCGCGCATTGCCAAGCTAATCGGAGGTTAGTCAAGGACTCAAGAGTGAAGCCAACATTCTTCTACGGAGTAATCCTTTTTCTTTCTCGCTCGTCAAGTACTCCATTCTGGGTATGGTCGAGAACCACTGATAGACCGAAGCAGGGCCCGGCTGGGGTGCCGGGCAGAGAAACCTTGTAAAAAGGGCCTTCTGGGAACAGAGAAACCACCCGTATCCGTACAGGCAAACGCTTATTTCAGCGAGGAACATCACTTTATTTTATGACAGAATCACCAATCGGACCATCGCTATTTCTTTCGTGGTTCTCTCGCTGTCTAGTGAATGGATAGGCCACACCGAAAATGACGGTGCAGAATATCCTCATTGCTGGCCCTCTCCCTTTGCTCACGAGTCACAGACTCATAAAAATGATCATCTTCCTCGGTCATCGCCATATCAACACTTTGGCTGCCCGCCAGGGTTCCTGAATCGGCTTCGAGATCCTCCCCACTGCCTCAGCCCTTTCCCACACAAACTCCCATGACAATCTGCCTCCCCCGACTCATGTTTGCTCACTCTACTTTATTCCCGTGCCAGCCTCGCCCTCCCGCATCCCGTGGGCTAGCGATACCAAGCTTTGGGACATGATCCCGCTCGACAATCGTGCCATCGTCGTTTCTTTGTCTTTTCCCGATCTCCACTAGCTCATGGGATCGTTGATTCAGAGATTCGCAACCGGTATCTCTAGACGCAAAGCTAGCCTATGCCTCATCGCCCCCTCCGTCCTCTCTCTTCAACCAAAGTTCATAGTCACCTTGCCCTTTCGTTGAATGCACCGACTAGCCAAACCATGACACAATGGGAACTTATCAAATTCACGGCGCCCAGGCCTGATCCAAGGCAGTCCAACTTTTGAATGATAATCGACCGCTTTCCCACACCCCACTCCCCTTGCTCACAGTCAGGAGAGAAAAACGTGTCCTTTGCATACCCGTATAATACGACCTTATTACGAATAAACTCGAGCGGAAACTAGCACACATACGGAAAGTCGATGCGCGCGAGTGAGAAAGCCGGTGCCGTCCGTCCCAGACTCCCAGGTAAAATGGTAGACCAGGCACCTCCAGAGTCCAACGACCTGCCCAGATCAGCAGGAGGATGACAGGATCATACTGGGAGGGGGCCTATCTCGCTGCTTCCGAACGAGATCCAACTGGAGATGGAGCTCGCGCCTGCATGGTACATAGTGTGCCGCAGCCCGCAGCCCAGGATGACGGAAGGAAGTCAGCACACACCGCCGCCGCCCCGTGCTGTGTTCTGGGGCGGGCGAACTGCGCTGCAGCCTGGTATGGTTGATGTGTGAGCTGAGCTGAGCTGAGCAAGGCCATACGATCAGTCAGCTGAAATGAGGCGCGCCCAAACGTTGAAACATGATCGACTTATTTCTCCATCGTGGCGGTTTGCTGAGTCCATTGACTCAATTCTAGCATTCCGGCGAAAGACGGTAGAAGTTCGTTTGTCTCGAGGGTGCAGAAGATCCGTCCATCATGCGGCTATCCCAGGTATTCCTTTGCCATGGAAAAGCAAGCACTTGAATCAAAACTTATGAACCCGTCCATGTC